AAAAAAAAAAAAAAAAAAAAAAAAAAGCCGCGATCGGCGGCGGCAGTTCAGCGGCATGTCCTTCACTCCTAGAGGGAGTGAGGGACCTGCCGCCCCCGAATTGCCGCAGGTGCCGCCCCTCTCCCTTGGCCGCCCCAAGCACCTGCTTGTTAAGCTGGTGCCTGGAGCCGGCCCTGGCAGGAGTGGACCTTTAGCTAGTGTAACCTCCGATGACAGAAGTGACTTTTGGTTAACTGGGATTTTCAGCAAAATGAATTTAGGAAAATCAGGTTGCGCTATATTGAGGTTGGTTTTGGGGTAGAAGTGACATGAATTAAATTTTTTTTTAAACCTACAAATACAGTGTGTACCTTTTTAACCTGACCTTCCCCCCCCCCCCCCCCCCCCCCCCCCTGGGGGGAGTACAAAAAAAAAAGAATGAAAACATTCTAGATAAATCATTTGGTGTGATTAAGTCATTGTAAACTTCTTTGCCATTACCCAGTAATGTACAACAAATCCCTCCCCCCCCCCACATAGTGTGTTTCAGGAATGATCATTTTCATATCTAAAATGGGAGATAAGACTATGTTATAGTTTAAAATAATGGAAATTGAATGATAGTGGGCCACCTACTGTTCTTTGTAACAGCAGTGTTTCTGGCTGTGTAACCAACATCAGAATGTTGGGGTGATTTCATAGAAATAGTATGTACTGCGGGCCAGATTCTGCCCTGGGACGTGTGTGCCTGACTCTGATTCATGTGTGCACTCGCACACATCTGAGGATGAAATTTGATCCCAACTTCTGAAAAATATTTAGGATTGTATCCCTGCACATGAGTTAATTTGGACCTTGGCATATATACTTCCTGTATTTTAAGTTGTTTGGATAGTATAAGTCATCTTGATCTTTGATATGCATTGTAATAAATAAAAATTAATTAAAGTTGATGATTTTTATTTCAGTTTTAAGAAATGGAATGTGGCAGACCATTATGTGGAAAGAGGTAAAAAAACAATTTTTAAAATGTTTTGAAAAGAATTACTTTTGATGGAATGATTCTAGGATGGCACAGAGCCAACGACACTGGATTTACAATGCCTAACGAGTCCCCTGTGTTGGGGGAATCCTTGGCTGCCTGTTTAGGGCAGCTTTTTGTGGCTGCTTTGCACTGTGGTAGCAATGCAGAGCTCTCAGATCTGGGCCTCAAGATTGTGTCCAATTCATCTGTTTTTCGAATAACAGTTGTCCATTTGTAACTTTTATAATAACAATTAAATATTATTGATATTACCATAGAGACTAGAACCCTGTGCTGTTTGCTCCTCTGTAGCACATTGCTTTTATTCCAATAAAAGTTAAATTAGTTTCACTGCAATGGCACAGCTATATTAATATTGTTTTTAACAACTTTATATGTTCCCTGCAGATCTATGGGAATTTTTTCTCCGAAGTCTTAGGCCCAGATCTTCAAAGGCTTTGGAAGTTAGGAGTCTAAATACCTTCAAGGATCTGGGCCTTAGTTAAAGACTTATTTAACTTTGGTAATTTCTGGGGCCCAATCAATGAGAACTTTTCCCTATAAGAAGTTCAGATTTTTTGAGACCAGGTTCTACAAACCCTCAATTACAAGGATAATCTGTACAGGTATAATGAACCTTTGTGAAGGGAGAGCCAGCACAAGGCCTATGCACGGCCATGTAAATCCCACTTAAACTCATTTTTTTTTTAGGATTTAAGTGGGACTTCAGTGGTGCATAAGCCTGGTTCTTACCCTGTGCACAATTGTGAATTTAACCCCAGGTGAATACTCTGATTGTATTTAATGAGGTTACTCATGTGAGTACAGATTTTTCAGGTCAGGCCTGTGGCTCTTAGAGAATTTATTATAAATCTATATTTACCAGAAAGTCCAAAATAGCTCTTTGAGCTTCATTCTGGTCAGTGATAAATAATGTACATCCCTTGTAACTTTCTGAGAAGGACTTTGAAAACCAAATCAGGAAATTAAACCCTTAAAATTATATTTAAACAACAGTAAGGCTCTGATGAAAACCAATGAATCCCAGGAAATGTAAAGCTGATGCTGAGACGTGCCACTATCTCTTAATTTTTCTACCAGATTGTGAATTAGAGATGTCACATAAGGCTGAATATGGAATGTTTTCACATTGTGTTAGTCTTCACATTTAAACAAAGATTCTTGACTATATGTGTTTCATTTTGAGTCACGAGGATTCCAGTTTATCCATTATTTTGTCATAATTACTCAGCTGTGTTTAGCATATCACCTGTTTAAAATATCAGAGCTGGTTTATTAGACGTTATTAGACCTGATCTTGCTACCATTGAGGTCCCTGGGAATTTTACTTCAGTGGGAGCAGGGTCAGTCAGGCTTGTCTTCTCCTATGAAGTTTACGGGTAGAACAAACAGACTTGCCATCTACTTTTGGAAACTGCTTGACTTTTCAGGGTCCATTCCGACATTAGGATTATGTCTTGATGTTCAATCTCAATCCAGCAGTTCATAATTTGTATGAACAAGGACAGATGACGTGCGGGCCCCTAAATGATTCCATTGTGTCTAGGCATGAGAGCTGGTGAGCACCTTCAACTCCCACTGAAGGTAATGGGAGTTGTGGGTGCTCAGCATCTCTAGGAACAGGTAAGATGTGAGAAGTGAAACACAGTTGCTGGTTGTGTTCACAGCATCTACCACTAGTTTGTGTCGCTACGTACTAGAGCACCTGCTGATGTTTAATGCTACAAGTGCTTAAGATGAAAAGCATCTGATGTGGGAAGAGTTCAAGTAAGAGGAGAGTAGCAAGCTGGTGAGTAGTGAGAAAACATGGAACGAAGAAAGAAAAGGGAGGAGAAGAGGTCAGAGGAAGAGTAAAACAGACGATACATTAAACAGATGAGTAGAGACAAAAGCAAAGATAAGAAAACTTATGTCACCTGGGAAAGCATCTCTTATCAGCTGTCAAGAAGAGCCACTGCCTACAGACAAGCTAGTTCAGGCAGTGGAAGGAGTGATGGGATCGGGGGGGGGGGAGGGGGGCTTAATTACCTTATTTAAATTAAGGAAAAACTGAGACTTGAAACTTACTTCTGAAGTTATGTATTTTTTGTCTGTGGTGGACACTGTTTCCCTTCATTAAATGTGTGAAATGAGCCCTGACGTTGAACTTTTACTTTCTCAATGGTATATAACCAGACTGAATTCAAAGCGTCACTGTAGATGTTCTTTGTAAGATACAGAACTCTTCCTCTCTTTGTGAAGGGAATAGTTAACAAATTAATAATCCGGATGAACAATTTGTGTTCATTTTCTCTTCTTCCCTGCTGCTGCACTCCTGCCCCTGTATCAATAGGTGGCAGTAGGAGACATTGTGAAGGTCACCAATGGGCAGCATCTTCCAGCAGACATGATCATTGTATCTTCCAGGTCAGATATACTGAGTGGGTGTGACATGATGCTTCTGCTGAACTGAGGTTTTAAAGAAATTATTTTTATCATTAGGAAGTGTAAACTTAAAGATCTTAGATGCCAATCCCCTCTCTTCCTCGCAGTGTGAACTGGATAACAACATTTCTACATCAAAAAGATATATTTGCCTTATCAGGGAAAGAAATGATCCTATCCAGTCACACTCTCATTTCATTTGCATTGTGAATAACTTCTCAAGAGCAGCCAGGTAAGATGGTGTTCAAATTGGTGGTGCTTGAAACTGAGCTCACTGTAGCATTTTGGGAAATTGACTCTGGCAGATTTGTAGGGAGGGGATTCGGTATGACAAAAGGTGAGTGCAGTCAAATTGCTCAGTGATTTTTGAAAGGCCTCTCATTTCTAAAAGGTCTTCACTGCTAAAAAAAAAAAAAGTGCAATTTTTTTACCTCAGTGTAACTGGGAAGCACGAGCTGTCCTGAGGTAAAAACACAGTGAAGACCCAACACTTTAGTTTTATCGTGAGGTAAATTCACTGAGGACAAGGGGGGTGTAGAGCTGTTCAGCTCATGATATAACTTGTCCTCACTGTGTTTTTTACCTCAGGACTGCTCCTGTATGTTACTCACCCCAAGGTATAAAACACACCCTTTTTAACAGTGAAGACAAGCCTTCAGAGGATTTTGCAGCTAAGTGATTTTTGGTGGTGATCAAAAGAACTTATCTTTAGTTTTGTTTCTTTGTATTAATTCAATTGAAAAAAATTCCAGCAAGTTCCCCCCACACTTGGTGCCCAGCCCCCAAGTACTTGTGCCACCTTCTTCCACTGCAGAGTTAACTGGAGTTATGTATGATCAAGTTACTTCTCTTGAGTTAGCCTCGCTTGAGAGAAAGCAGTCGCACTGCAGAATAACATTTGAGCTGCTGTGTCCACTGCTCTGGTGCTTCACTTATTCATGTGTGTCACTAAAGTTTAGTCTATACTACAAACTTATCCACACCCCTGGGCATCCTAGTTATACCAATTTAACCCCTGGTGTAGACAGTGCGAGGGCTTCTCTTGTTGACATAGCTACCACCTCTCGGAGAGGTGGAGCTCCTACGCTGATGGGAGAAGCTCTTCTTTTGGTACCGGTAGTATCTTCACTAAGTGCCATAGCACTGTATGTGTAGACAAGCCCTGGGACTTCTGGGGGCATATCTCATGGGTCTTTGCACTGCAGTTAGATGAGCTGCTCTTTAAATTCTTTCTTAGGGCTTGTCTATACTTACGCGCTGGTTCGGCGGCAGGCAATCGAACTTCTGGGTTCGATTTATCGCATCTTGTCTGGACGCGATAAATCGAACCCAGAAGTGCTCGCCGTCAACTCCGATAATCCTGCTTGGCGAGAGCAGTACGCGGAGTCGACGGGGGAGCCTGTCTGCCGCGTCTGGACCATGGTAAGTTCGACCTAAGGTACGTCGACTTCAGCTACGTTATTCACATAGCTGAAGTTGCGTACCTTAGTTCGAATTGGGGGGTTAGTGTAGACCAGGCCTTAGTAAATTATGGGAGAACTTGTCTGTCCTCTCTGGGTGCATGGGAGGGAATTGTGAGAAGGCATTGGAGGACTGTCAGCACTCGAGTGGAACTAGCTTGTGGCCACACTCTAGAGTGGTCATGCTAGCATCTGCTGAGTTGCGCTCTCTGAAGTTTTAGCCTGTACCCCCTGATGGGCCAGCCAACTTGTGTTTAAAAGCACCACCACACTTGAGTTAGGAGCAACATTTGAGTTATAATTTGAGTTAACTTTGCAGTGAAGACAAACCCTAAGACTGCAGGTCTTCTCTTCACCACCCAAACATCAAGCAAGGGATCTTGTGGGTGTTCTTCTCTCTAACTACCAATGGCCACAGGTCACCCTGATCCCCAGGTCCTGAAATTCCCTCCTGGAGAGGGAAACAGATGACTAACCTTCTGAGAAATGTCTTTTCTGAGCTATTGGCCTACATTTCCTGCCCTGCCCTCACTTCCTGTCTCATTCTTGTGTCACCAAGAGAAGCAGTGGAGATAGCAAAAGGTAAAAATGAAGATCTGAAATTTCAAAAGTGACTAGAGTTTGGGGGTGCTGCAGTTTTAGGGTGCCGAATTGAAATTCCATAAGGTGTCCTGAGGGTGCTCAGTAAGTCTGAAAAATATTGTCCCTTTAATCATGACTCAGGTTGAGCACCCAAAAACTGAGGTACCTCAAATACCTAGTTGGTTCTAGGATTTAGGTAAAAATTTAAAAATAAGATTTATTTAAATAAAAGCCCCAAATTATTATTGATTATTTATTACTAGCCAGGTGATTCCCACATTTAAGTGCAGGTAGTGGATACAACCACACTTTAATCAGAATGGCAATTTCCAGTTTTGAGGGATACTCATTCCATTTTGGGATTTCTCCCCCAACATTTTATATTTAAACTTTCTTTCCCACTTACCTGCTTCATTGGGATTTAGTTCTTAAACTACATGGGCCAAATTATTCTGTCAGTACCACCCCAATAACGCCACTGATGTCAGTGAGGTTACACTGGTATAATTAAGGGCATAATTTGGCCCTGCATATGCTGTTTAATTTACAAAATGCTTTGCTTTTAGTATTGGCCATTTCTGTTGTGGTTTTGCTTTTACCATGGTAGCTTTGTTAGGTACATAATGGTTCTTTGAAATGGTAATAATAATAAAATAGCCCTCAGTTCACCAGAAAGCTTTGCATGCTCTGCAAAGATGGATTGTTTGATTTGTATATGGTATGTGCTGTATTAAGGTATTGTGTGTATGTGTGTACAGGTATATTGTTTTGACTGATAAAAATAAATTAAGGCGTCAGTGTCTATTATTTTGATTATTCACATAAAGATGATATTCAAGGGATCTTACAGACAGCAGAAATTCTTAAGGCAGAAAAAAAGACCAAAAGCAATTAAAGACCATATTTGGATCTTATTTGCACTGGGTATAAGAGGCATTTTCAGTTATAGATACAGATGTGAAGGACTGTGTGTAAAACTTTCTTGGCCTGTGATACAAGTGCTGCTTCTGATCCACCATCTAGATTGCAGTGAATTTGCTGTTCATAATACAACCAAAAATATGGACCATTGTGGTTTATGTATTAGAGTCTGTAGTGTCCATTGGATTTGATCTGTTAGTTTGCCCATATGTGGGAAGCTGGGAACCTGTGTGCCAGCTCCCATTGCTGTCTGACTTCTGAAAGAAAATTTATTTCTCTGGAGACCACATATATATCTGTGTATATGGCTAGATCTGCATACCTGCATCTGTCTGGCATTCAGGTGTCTGGCAGTCAGGAAAATGGCAGCAATACAAGGGTTAATTTAAATCTGATTGCTTCAGGAGGTATAGAACAGCATCTCAATGTATAGAAAGTAGTCTGCAAAAACTGGAAGATGAAATGCATATCTGGGTCCAAGTAGGCAGTGAATTCCTTCATTGTGATGCATAGCCATAAGTGAGGATGTCTTTTTAAAAGATACGCTCTAGGAATTATTTTGGGGGAGTTCTATGGCTTGTGTTATAAAGGAGATCAGATGGTCATCAGGCCTTGAAATCTATGAATTTATGAACTACAGAGCATGATAAATGGGTACAAACTCTGGGCAAGATTCTAATACTCCTCAGGTGTGCCCTGAGAGTAGGCACTCTGTGAAAGCAGCATCATTGTGCACCTGAATTTGACCCATACTTAGCTCTCTCCCACCCTCGGACAGACTATTCCAGCCAGGAAGAGGAGTAATTTCTGTAAGACAGGGTTGTGTGGGGATGTGTAAGAGCACAAACACTCTAGTAGAGCACACCCCTTGCGTCTAACCCTGGTTCCAGAATGCCTCTCTGTGGCTCCAACCACAGGACACCTGCAGAGTTGCCTCTGCAAGTTTGGGGGGAACTAGAATCAGGGAGGTGGAACATTAACATCTTCTGCTGCCCTTACAGCCATGGCTTTTAGGTGGTTTGTATGAGCAACCTATAGCCAGATTTGGCTCTATGGGGAAAAAATGTACAAAGGTATGAAGGGAGCTGGTGCCTAACTGTCCTTAGTACTTTGAAAATCTCCCCTGTTTTAATGTTGCTATGATTTTCCAGCATTCTTGCTCAACAAATTTGGGGAAGAAAAATTCTAGAAGGAGAACCTGACAAAAGTGAAACAGTTGAGTTATTAAATAATGTGAAGAATTGAAGCAGAGGTTCTTTAATATTTTCTAGAAGTGATGTGTACTTATGTTAAAGCTCCTTGTTTTTGCTGGCTAGCATCTGTACTGATTCAGTTAGAAGTGTTCTTTTAAGAAATCATTTAAGTCATTTTTAAGTGAAGTAATTTTAAAAGGGATTTTTAAAAAATGGCACTCTGTCATTCACCCTCAGAATTTAACTTTTTGCCATATAACGTACTGAGAATAGTTATAGCTGGGTACTTTCAAAGCACAAGTAAGGCTCAATGTAATTGTTTTATAAAATGTTTAATCATGAAAATTTTACTGTGCTTTCTGCAGTGAACCTCAGGCAATGTGCTATATTGAAACATCTAATCTTGATGGGGAGACTAATCTTAAAATACGACAGGTAAAATTACATTTATTTTGTTAGTGTATAATGTTAACTAGGAAGTCCTGTTTAGCAGTTAGGAAAGGGACTTGGGTGTGAGGAGATCTGGATTCTAAATGCAGCTGTATTTCTCTTGACTAGTTACTTATGCTCTCGCTGCCAGTTTCTGCATCTGTTGAATGGAGGTGGTAATAATTGCTGTACAGATTTGTTGAGAGACTAAATTAAAGAGAGGCATGTTCCTATGGATTTAAACATGGGAATGGACATCAGGAAGATCCTGGCTATGAAGCTTATGTCTAGTGTGGCCTTCAAACAAATATTTAACTTCTCTGCCTCACTTTCCCCCTCTCTAATAACAGCAGTATTATTCCCAGGGCTGCTGTAATTACATGCTTGTTAAGTGCTTTAAACATGAATTTACTCTCTCTTGATCTGACAGAACCTGCATTTGATGACCTTCTGGTCATGTTGCAAAGCATATGGGCCTGATTCTCATTTACACTGAGGCTGCCTTATACCACTCTGGCAGCGTAAATAGACCTTTAAAGAGTGTGAATTAGACGTATCCACTTCAAGGCTCCTTTACACTGCCAGAGAGGTGTAAAGGTGAATCAGGGCCTGTGTTTTTACCCATGCTTTCTCCGACTCCTAAGTGTGAGCACCTCAGTCTTTGGGTGGGGAGCAGCATGGAGCTGAGATTGGTACTTTTGTGTGAGTAAAAAGAATTAACTGACACTCTTATGTACATCCTACTTAAGGGGATCCCCGTAATCACAGAGCCAGAGGCCAAGCTCCCACCATCCTCCTGCCCATCCCCAACATCCCCTGCAGTGGTTTATCAGAGCTGATGCAGAACCCTTGGAGCGTGGCGTCCCTTTACATGCCCTCTCCATACCTTATACAGCCTGGATACAGTGGCTGTTCTGTACCGGGGGTGTCAGTCATGTTGTGCCCATGATAAACTTCACCCAGAAGGACACATTTTATTTTATGCAAATATATCTGTACAAAATAAGAGAAGTTGAGAGGTGAGAAAATAAGTTTGTATTTTAAATGTTTGGGAAATGTAAAGTTATCAGAGAAGGGGAGTTAGAGATTCTCCTCTTACTTACCCCGGTATCAATTGGAAGTAACTCCATTTAGTCACTGCAGCTGCTCAAATCTAAAACTAGTGTGCAAGGAGAATCAGGGCATTGAGCACATTAAGATGCAATTGCATGTGACTGCAGCATACCCCTGACAGTATCAAAGCAGCACTTGGAAACCTGTGTACTTCACTGCCAGATGATTAACAAATCAAAGAAACCATTATGGTTTACTAAAGGAACTATCAAAGGTAGGAAAGTGCTGGGTTTCAAGCACAATAAGCCATGAGAAGTGTATTTGAAATGCCATGATTTGATTATTACACACTATGCTTGTGGTCAGAGTTGGAATTTAGCTGCCCAAAGTAGAGACCCAGTTTCGTTGACACTCCTCTTCATTTATAAGAGGTGCAGGATGTAATGTGTTCCTCCTGGGGTGCCACCTGGAACTGGGGTACCACTGAGCCCTCTGACTCACCAGCCTGGGCTCTCTCTCACCCTGTGCTGCCGTGACAAGCTGCAGACCCGCTACTGGTCCTACACTTCCACCAGCATTCACACAGGCAGGGACGCACCCAGCTGCAGTTACATGGAAGCTGGCCACCCACTGCATGAACCAACAATAGAGAGGCTACAGCCAAAATAACCACCAGCTTCCCAACCTAGGACCCCAGGGCTGTACCGTCCTGCCCTGGTCAAAACCCCGACCAGTATGAATTTATTTTCCAGTTCGGCAACAACCTTTGCCCCTTGAGCTAAGATTTTGAAGCACTTCATTCAAAGTCACTGGTTTAGATAAAGCAAAGACAAGTTTATTAACTACAAAAGGTAGATTTTAAGTGATAGCAAACAGATCAAAGCAGCTTACCTAGTAAATAAACAAAAACTCAAACTAAATTTAACATACTAGAACAGGGGTCGGCAGCCTTTCAGAAGTGGTGTGCCGAGTCTTCATTTATTCACTTTAATTTAAGGTTTCGCGTGCCAGTAATATATTTTAACCTTTTTAGAAGGTTTCTTTCTATAAGTCTATAATATATAACTAAACTATTGTTGTATGTAAAGTAAATAAGGTTTTTAAAATGTTTAAGAAGCTTCATTTAAAATTCAATTAAAATGCAGAGCCCCCCGGACCAGTGGCCAGGACCCGGGCAGTGTGAGTGCCACTGAAAATCAGCTCACGTGCCGCCTTTGGCACGCATGCCATAGGTTACCTACCCCTGTACTAGAAGGATAGGATTTGAATTAACAATCTCTCTCCCTGACTGATGGTACAAGCAGGGCTTGCAGATTCTCAAGGCACAAGCTGCACTTGCTTCGGATCCCCACCCCAGTTCCAAGTCCTTTTCCTTAGGAGCTTCTCTTAGGTGTTCAGCTGTGGGGGAGTGAAGAACAACAGATGATGTCACTCCCTGCCTTATATAGCTTTAGCATATGGCAGGAACCCTTTGTCCCAAACTCAGTTTGTGGAAAAACACTGGTATCCAAGATGAAATTCCGTGTCATGTGGCCTGGTCACATGCCCTTGCATACCTTGCTGAGTCATAGCAACCATTACTTACAGGCTGTCTGGAGCATTCTCAGGAAGGCTCACCAGGTGGAGCATAAGCTTCTCCTAAAGCCTATTGTTTTTCCTAATGGCCCATTACCTTGAATAGGCCCTTCATAGCCGACTATCTATCTGGAAGCATTTTGCCTAGTGGGTGTCACCCAGGTGTGATTACATGTGAAATACAGATACGCAGTCAATATTCATAACTTCCGATACAAAAATGATACGTGCATACAAATATGATAATCATATTTAGCAAATCATAACTTTTCCAATGACAGCTCATATGACCTATCTTGTACAAAATGCATCATAATAATGCCATTGTAACTTACAATTCATATTTGAAAACATTTATATTTGCTTCCATTTTAATTTTGTTTGAGAAAATGTGATTGTATCTGCAGGTCTGATACCAAGGACAGTAGTCTGGGGCGGCATCCTCTGCAGATTTTATTTATATATGTGTCACTGCATTTAAAAAATGTGGACCTGATTCTCCAACTGCCTTACAACGTGGAGTCTCACTTGAGCAAACAAGATGGAAAATGGGTATATGGCAGTGATTTACACTCACTTTCCACTCCCTTCGCTCAAGGGTAACTTATGACACTAGGTAAAAAGCAGTGAAGAATCAGGCATGTGGTTTCTAAATTTCAGAAAATTGCATGTTTGAGTATGGCTAGTGATACATATGATAAATCTTACACTGCCCTCCCAATAAATCAATACATTGGGTTAAATTCTTGGCTGCGTGTGCAGTCTGCACTGAGTGCAATAGGATGGGGGAGCTGCAAAGGAGCTGGATGCAGTTCCTCAATCCTGGGGGCAAGAGAGGACCAGTTTGGCACCCAGCATAGTTTAAGTCAAGATTGGATGTGTTCATGAAAGAGATGCTCTAGGAATTATTTTGGGGAAGTTCTACAGCTTGTGCTATACAGGGGGGCAGACTAGATAACAATGATCCCTTCTGGCCTTGGAATCTATTAATCTGTGGTGAGTTAGCAATCAACCCTGAGCCAGGGCAGAGCATGGTTGTACTGCCCCAGGAGCGGCCCAAGAGGGAGAGTGTGACTTAGCTACACGTGTCAATAAGCTACATTGCCCCATGTGGGAGGAGGGCAGAACCAAAGCTGCTCTCATTCCTTGTTTCTTCCCGCTCCCTCCTGCCCGCTTGTGCCGAGTGGGGGAGCGTAAAAGTTCTGTGAAGCCCGTTTTCCATCCAGCGCTATGAATGGTTGTAGAGGCAGCTGGCACAATCTAGTAAGGAGGTGCCTTATGCCACTTTACTGCCTTGAGTGCCCATGCAAGCTAGGGCAAAATCTCGTCCTTATTAAGTAAACAATTTCTGTGGGGCTTACAGAGCCCCTGAATCCCATAAGCAGCAGAAGAAGCTCGAGTACTAAGTCAATGTACTCAGCTATGCCTCTGTCTCTCATTTGTTGGGATACATTATAGAACCACATGTGGAAAATTAAACTAACAAGAAAAGTTGATTTGACAGGCATCTCCTCTGGCTTGGTCTCTTGCAGGGATTGACTCAAACTGCTAGTCTTCAGTCGAGAGAAGACTTGATGAAAGTGTCTGGGAAGATAGAATGTGAAGGACCCAACCGTCACCTCTATGACTTCATTGGAAACTTGCGCTTAGATGGCCAAAGGTATCAACTTTACTGAAAAGCGATAGTTGTCTTCTGTTAAGAAATATGTCTTATGTGTATGTGTGCACCGTGGCTTCTCTGGCAACACAGAAAGAACATAAAGGTATTTCTGTGGGTGACTACTAACTGGTGCATGAGCTGATCGTCAGCTAGTGTAAAATGGTGTAGCTCTATTGACTTCAATGGACAGTCTTTACCTTAAGTGGTAGAGGCCTGTGAGTTCTGGAACTAGAGGACCTGGGTTCAGTGTTCCCTCTAATTCTTCACACCCATGTGCGGAATTAATTTTGTTATGTGCACCAATATGGAGATGATGTGTGACACATCACCTTCATATCGGTGCACATAACAAAATTCATGTGGTGGGGTGGGGCCGAGGGGTTCGGAGTGTGGGAGGGGGCTCAGGGCTGGGGCAGAGGGTTGAGGTGCAGGGGTGTGAGGACTCCGGCTAGGGGTGCGGGTTCTGGGGTGGAGCCGTCAATGAGGGGTTTGGGGTGCAGGAGGGGCTCCGGGGCTACGGTAGGGAGAGAGGACTCCCCCCAGCTCTCTCTCCCTGTGGCAGCACCTGGGCTGGCGGGGGAGAGGGGCCTCTCCCTGATGCAGCAGCTCTGGGGCTGGGGCCGCAGGATAGGCGCCCCTCCCCCAGCCCCCAGAGGTCCGGGCTGGGGCTGGGTTCAGGGAGGGGCACCCCGGCCACGACAGGTCTGGGCCAGGGCTGGGTTCGGGCCGGGTGCCCCGTGACAGGTCCAGGCCAGGGCTGGGTTCGGGGAGGGGTGCCCCATGACAGGTCCAGGCTGTGGCTGGGTTCGGGCAGGGCTGCCCAGGTTCAGGGCTGGGCAGGGCTGCCCGGGTTTGGCCCAGGGCAGGGGTGCCCCAACCGCGGCAGGTCCGGGCTGCAGCATAGTTGGGGTCGGGTGGACCGTCCTGGCCGTGGCAGGTTGGTGGCTGGGCTATATTGGGGCTGAGGGAGGGGCGCCCCTCCCCCGGCCACAGCAGGTCCCTCCCCTCAGACGGGTTCCCTGAGCACCTGCGCCGCACTAAATAGGCTGCTGCTCAGCCATGCAGCTTACAGGGAATTTAGCCAGGATTCCAGTCCCACCTTTGCAAATGATGATTGTTTATTATGGGAGAAGTAATAGCCCTTTCATAGTTGAGCTTGCAACCACAGTTCCTTTTTAAGGGTAATTTAGATCCCTCTTGTAACTCTTAAAAGAAAAAGTTTCCTGCTTCAGTCATATAAATTCAAGTATTTTAATCCATAGAAATTAAAGTGCTTTAAAAAGAAGGGGAAGTGTCATTATGCTCATTTTATAGGTGGGGAAACTAAGGCCTGGTCTACACTAGAAAATTAAGTCAGTTTAACTACATCGCTCAGAGGTGTGAAAAATCCACACCTCTGACCAGTGTAGTGAAGCTGACCTAAGCCCCAGTGTAGACAGTGCTAGGTTGACGGAAGAATTATTCCATTGACCAAGCTACCCGCCTGTCGGGGAGGTGGATTACCTACAGCAGTGGGAGAACCCCTCCCATCAGCACAGATAGTGTCTGCACTGAAGCGCAGCGATTCAGCTGTGCCGCTGTAGCATTTCAAGTGTAGACGACCTCAGGTGCAGAGAGATGAAATGCCTTGCCCCAGGTAACACAGCAGACTAGTGGCAGAGTTGAGAATAGCACCTGACTCCCCTCTGACAGGCCACTGGATCCTGCTGCTTTCTGAAAATGTTGATTACTTAGTGACTAAGTACTTTTTGAGATTAAAAGTCTTTTTAGTGGCTCATTTTTGAAAAGTTTGCCAATTGTCTCGTGCTGTTTATGTCCCTCCGTTTGCTCAACAGAAATCACATTAGCTGGGGTGTTATTTAGGGCAGTCTTGAGGCTGTTCTATAACATGCTGGATGCCAAACTGGGAACTGTAGCCAGCTCCTTTGCAGCTTCCCCCACCTTGCTGCACTGTGCAGAGACTGGAATGCAATCGAGGAGCGAACTCAATGTATTTATTTATGGGTGGGCAGTGGCAGATTTATGCAGGAGGTCCCTAAATATTAATTTCCTTCCAAGTGCTGGGTTTTGTAAATGATATGAAAGGGGAGTATCCAAGAAAAGAAGCATGTGTTCATATAATGAAAAATAACTTTCTTGAATGGTTAGAATATCTTCAGAGTCATTTAAAATATCTGTACTTATTTTTTCTTTATTCTTGGCTTCTAGTCCGGTTCCCATTGGGCCTGACCAGATCTTGCTGAGAGGTGCACAGCTTAGAAACACCCAATGGGTCCTAGGAATTGTTGTATACACAGGACATGACACAAAGCTCATGCAGGTAAAATGGATTGGAAATAATATCTCGCATGTGTTTTGATGGAAATCGGTATTCTCTATTTCTGTATTCTGCCTGTCCTTATGAGTTGATTATGCAAAATAAAGTGTCGGTCATTATATTTGTAATGCAGTAGCATCCAGAAGCCTCGAGTGAGATTGGGACTCCACAGTGCTGGGTGCAGTATGCGCTCTTAGTACCTGCTAGGAAGAGCTTACAACATACATTTTTTACATGATGAAGGTTAAGATTTTGTCATAGTTATTTTTAGTAAAAGTCACAGACAGGTCACAGTCAATGAACAATAATTCATGGAAGCCTGAGCCCTGCCACCCAAATGGGGGCGGGGGGTGACAGCTTGAGCCCTGCTGCCCAGGGCTCACCGTGCCGCAAAGGGCTGATGGCCCTGCCGCATGGAGCTGACAGCTGAAGTCCCATTGCCTGGGGCTGAAATCGCGGATATCACCAAAAATCATGGAACCCATGACCTCCGTGACAGACTCGTATCCTTAGACATGATATATAGAACTAACTTTTTAAAACCTAAATGTATAAAGTAAGTACCATTGCAGCCTTCCCAGAGCACCATGGTAACGCAAGCTTTTCCATGACTCTCACGCAGAATAAAGAAGTGAAATAACAAGGAGAAGTAATGTCAACTGTGACTCTGCACTACACCCCTGTTCACTTTCTGGAACAAGCAATCTTCTGTGGGCTGTAATCCTGGAAGAAATTATCTACTTCTAGAACAATAAATCCAGTTAAAATCTTTCCATGCATTAATATGTGCCCTGATCCTGCAAGTAGTTCTATTCAGCCAGGTTCCATCAGACTTTAGTTCGGCTTTTTTAAGTTTTAAGGCTGTAAAAGAGAATTATACTTGGCTGCTGTTGAACTGTGTCTAAAAACTTGCAGTGCACAAGAGCTGAGGGGAGGATTTAGGGAGCATTTTCCCCCTTAGAGCCTGTGCAGAAACTAGAGAAAATTGCAATCCTTGCATTCTTTTGAGGGCAGTAACTCCTGCTCTCTGCTAGTGTTCCCCTGGGAGCTAGACCAGGGGTGGGCAAACTGTGGCCCGGGGGCTGCATCTGGCCCTCCAGGCATTTTAATCCGGCCCTTGAGCCCCCGCTTGGGAGCAGGGTCTGGGGCTTGCCCCGCTCTGGTGCTCCAGCTGGGAAGCAGGGTCAGGGGCTTGTCCCACTCCGTGCAGCTTCCAGAAGCAGCAGCAAGTCCCCCCTCTGGCTCCTACACGTAGGGGCAGCCAGGGGGCTCCGCACACTGCTCCCACCCCAAGTGCTGCCCCCACAGCTCCCATTGGATGGGAACCGCGGCCAATAGGAGCTGCAGGGGTGGCGCCTGCGGACAGGGCAGCGCGCAGAGCCGCCTGGCCGTGCCTCTGCTGCTTAAGGTAAGCACCACCCAGAGCCTGCACCTCTGACCCCCTCCCATGCCCCAACCCCCTGCCCCAGTCCTGATCCCCCTCCCGCCCTCTGAACCCCTTGGTCCCAGCCCGGAGCACCCTCCTGCACCCTGAACTCCTCATTCCTGGCGCCACCCCAGAACCTGCACCCCCAGCCAGAGCCCTCACCCGCTCCCGCACCCCAGCTCCCAATTTTGTGAGCGCTCATGGCCTGCCATAAAATTTGCATACCCAGATGTGGCCCTCGGGCCAAAAAGTTTGCCCACCCCTGAGCTAGACCCTCAGAGGCAGGGACATGGCCTTGTTCTTTACCTGCCTTGGCCATCAGAGTGGGATGAATAGGCTGGAGGGAGTATGCTCAGCTCCCAGAAGAGATTGAGTATAGTACATATCCCCTATGTCTGACTCACAACAGTAGTCTGTTAGTCTCTGTGTGTATGTGTATAATACCACCATAGTGGCTAGGGGCCCTAGTCATAGACTTTGCATAAATAATATATTTAACTGGCTGGGGGTGGAGTTTGAGAACAAAGTAGCTAAGTCCACAGTTTTAAGACTCTGAAAATTAACTGTGCACAGAGGAACTAAGGAGAACAGTCCCACCTTTGTAGTTATTGTAATATTATTTAGCAGTTTTTCTCACCATTTGCTATTGTTATCGCCATACTTAAACCAATTCTCAAGGCTGTTTCTGCTTTTGTTCAGAATTCAACCAAAGCCCCTTTGAAGAGATCAAATGTGGAGAAGGTGACCAACATGCAGATTCTGGTTTTATTCTGCATCCTTCTGGTCATGGCCCTTGTGAGTTCTGTGGGTGCCTTACTATGGAACAGAACACATGGTGAAGTCATCTGGTACCTTGGCTCAAATGGTGAGAGTTTGATTGCAGGTGGTCCATTGTCTGTGTGTTAAAACAGTGAGAGCTCATAAAGTTTGAGGATTCTACAGAGCATGCCAGGCCATTTATCTTTGCCAAATAAATGCAGAAAAGAGGCCCATAAATAAAAATCAAAGCCAGCAGCTAACTTTATTTGACAATGTATTCTAGAAACAGCCTGCAGTAACTATGGAGCCCAGCTTGCCTGCGAATGTGCTGTTGAGGGATGCAAGATGTTCCCCCCTCCCAAGGTCTGAGAATGCTGCTAGGCAGCTGTCCAAAAATAAAGTGGGATCATAGAATATCAGGGTTGGAAGGGACCTCAGGAGGTCATCTAGTCCAACCCCCTGCTCAAAGCAGGACCAATCCACAGACAGATTTTTGCCCCAGATCCCTAAATGGCCCCCTCAAGGATTGAACTCACAACCCTGGGTTTAGCAGGCCAATGCTCAAACCACTGATGGAGAGTTAAATATCAGGTGCCTCATACAGTGGTGCAAAATGCCACTCAAAGATGACCGAAAGACTCCTTATTTCAGTTATGAAAAATTGATTGGGGCACTGTAACTTACTGAATTGGGTTAAGGATTTGTGGTATCAGCCTCCTTTCTGTCGATCAATCCTTTCGTCTACATACTTCAGCCACAACCTCTTTTCACCAGAGCCTAGGCTGGTGTAAAGTGTCACAACTCCACTGACTTTAATTTAATGCTGATTTATGTCAGCTGAGGATCTGTCTCTCTGTGTTTTAGTTAGCCCATCTATAAATTGGAGCTGATGATCTCCCCTATATGGATATCCTGAAGATTAATGTTCACACATTAAGTATTATTGCTGTCTTTGTATTTGCAGGACCAGGTTGTTCTAGCTTACAACAGAGGGGTAATTTTGCAATTGCAAAACTCTGATCCTTTATAGTGTGTGTGTTTTATTTAAGGACTCCATTTTACTTCCTTTTTGCTACCTGTATTTACTTATGAGATTAAATAGTAACACAAAGATACGGATATTGTGAAAACACATCAAGATAGAATATAAGTCATTCTGCAGGAGAGAGATTTTTGGCATTTCAATTTCTATTACAATCACCTAGAAAATGTGTCAGACATTGGCTATTGTGTTACTGACACTATCTTGGGATGCAGACCTAAATAAATAAATGTCACTGGAATTGTGTAAATCTTTTACTGGTAGTGGTAAAACCGCTGGCAATGGCTGAGCTGTCATCTGTTTCAGATGAACTGCAATTATGGTACCTTTACTGAAAAAGATCCAATCTCTGAGGAGGAGTGGAGTGGCATTGATAGCAGGCTATATAGATCTCAAGACCCATTCTTCATTGAACTAGCTTTGACTTCAGTTTATGTCAATCATGTTCTTTCCATTTTAATCACTGTTACTGCTACTAGAGATTGTTTTTAAAAAAAATAGTGTTGCCAGATTTAATAAAAATTCTACACAGGAAAAATATGAAACACAAGATATGTAAATGACTGGAAGAAGCAGTGATGAATAGAAACAAATGGAATATGATTTGGAATGGAGAGTACTCAAAAGTTATAGGGACTGATCTCACAAACTGGTGTAAATTGAGAATAACTTTGCTGAAATCAATGTAGTATCATTCCTGAAGTCAAGATATCGCCCACAAGTATTGTCTCACCTAGGGAGATGCATTTTCAAAGCAGTCTCATGAGTTACACACAGAACCAGTCATTCTTTCTTATTGTCAGAAAAGGGGAGTATACTTTATTCTTTCATAACCAAAACTTCAAACCTGGGTGCCTAACCAGAGTGCCTAATTCTCACAAATGTCTGGGTAGAAAAAAGCTTCTTTGCCCATTCAGCTTGCCTCTTGGTTTTCCTTAGAGACTGGTCCAAGCTGCAGAAAATTCTTCTCCATATCTGGATTTTAAACACTCCCAAGTTCAGAAGCATTTGGACCCAGATTTTGGTTCAGCCTGGCATAAATATTGAGCCATTTAAAAATTTATATTTAACTAGGTTTCAAAGCTTCTGAGAATTCAGGAGTGTTCATCTCTGGCTCTCATCTCTGCCTCTTCAGTTTTTTCTCAGATTCATTTGCCTGGATTCTTCAGTTCCTATACTCTTAAATGACTGTTTTTCTTAAGCTCATTTGTACTTGTTACTTCTATGCATTTATTTGGGCAACTTATCTAGCATATTCATTGCTGGTAAAACCATTTTATTTGGATACCTTATTTAGTTTTAATTACACATCTCTTTGATTGTGATCTTTTTTCAATTCTCACTGGAGTGAATAGTTTACCGAACTTGCCAACACTGGAAGCTATAAATACAGATATGTGGTGAAAATAATTGGGACACACCTTCTAACTCTATTGAAATATGTGGAACAAAACCAGCTTTTTGGAGAGGCAGAGTGAAAATGTGCTGCTAGAAATAATATCTGTAGTTCTTCAGTGGGGACAGATGGCATGTATACAGGATTACCAGATCCCTTTGGACTGTAATATGGAATATTGCACTTCTAGTAACCTGCTTACAGAACTGAGAATAAACTCAGTTACTCACAAATCTAAATCTCATGTTTCACACAGTGTGCACATAGCACAGCTAGCCTTTCCCCTTTTCTGAAGTTGATGTAATATGTGTAGGGCCCTGCCAAATTCACAGTCCATTTTGGTCAATTTCACGGCCATAGGATTTTTAAAATTGTAAATTTCATGATTTCAGCTATTTAAATCTGAAATTTCATGGTGTTGTCATTGTAGGGGTCCTGACCCAAAAAGGAGTTGTGTGTGTGTGGGGGGAGTCACAAGGTTATTGTGGGGGGAGGTTTGCGGTACTGCTCCCCTTACTTCGGCGCTGCTGCTGGTGGTGGCGCTGCCCTCAGAGCTGGGCATCTGGATTTGGTATTGCCACCTTTACTTCTGTGCTGCTGCCTGCAGAGCTGGGCCTTCAGTCAGCAGCCGCCACTCTTCGGCCGCCCAGCTCTGAAGGCACCAGCGCAGAAGTAAGTGTGGCATGATATGCTGTTGCCACCCTTAGTTCTGCGCTGCTGCTGGTGGAGCGCTGCCTTCAGAGCCGGATGCCCGGCCAACAGTCGTCACTCTCCAGCCACCCAGTTCTGAAGGCAGCACAGAAGTAAGGGTGGCAATATCGTGACCCTAAAATAACCCCCTCCAGCTCCCTTTTGGGTCAGGACCCCCAATTTGAGAAACACTGGTCTCCCCCATGAAGTCTGTATAGTATAGGGTAAAAGCACACAAAAGACCAAATTTCACAGCGGGGACACCAGATTTCACGGTCCGTGACGCGTTTTTCATGGCCGTGAATTTGGTAGGACCCTAAATATGTGTATGTATATATCAATTTTAAAAAACACCTCTACAAGTTCTAGGCACCCTAACGTGTAATTAATATTACAGTAAAACCCAAGCAGCATTAGAATAATCATTCAACAAGGAACTTTGCCAGTCAGCCACCTTTTCACCTCTTTGTCACTCTGGGAAGACTATCCTCAGCCCTTCCCCCAAATGCCCTCAAACAGAAGTGTTTTGCAGTGTGCCTGGAAGGTCACCAGATTCAGGCTGTTTTGGATCAAGTAGGGGGAGCAAATTCAGGAGGTCTTATAGCAGATGCCCTGCCAGCAGCCCCGTCATATATGAATACTTCGTTACAATACTGGGAGAATTTCAAACCAGCTCTGATCTTTTATTGGTGTAGAAAATAACTTCTGTCCCATATTTAGACATTTTAGGTAAAAAGTCTTCTTTTGTTTATCATCTTTTAAAACAATACATTGGGTGAGATTTTCACTTTTCAGTTCTATTTTATTCTATTCAGGTTCTTACACCGTGCTATCTGAGCACTTGTTATGGCAGGGGAACTGGGATAAAGAAGTTCTGTGCGCCGTGACAGCTCCTGGGGGCATTGTGTCTGAGGCAGTCGTAATGGGCTTGATTCTGATATCCGTTGAACCATTTTTTACATTGTTTTGCAGAAAGTTAACTGGAGTTTGTCCTGAATTTGTACTGGTGTAAGTGAGATCAGGATAAGGACCATGGTGTCCAGGAGTGCACACAAATAGCATTGTCTACAACCTTCAACAGAATGAAGCATGCTGGCAGGAGAGGAGTGGGGCAGGGCCATGACCTGGATTTAGTTTTGCCCTACCCATTGCTAGCATTGCTTTCTGCACTGGAATCTTATGTGCCATGAAAGCAAGAAGCAAGATTTTGTTTGTCTCCTGTGTAGGGGCACAAGGTAGAAGGAAAATGCCTAGAGCCCTCACCTACCCACATGAGGGTAGACACAATCTAGCCCTTTTCAATAAATTGAATAAAGTCAATAAATTGAAAAGGTCTGTTTTGTGGAGAGAAAATAGATGTTCATCTATGTATGCCATTGGTTTAAAATGGGAACTCTCCACAGAATTAACACTGTAAAAAATGCATGGATGATTGAATACAAACATGTGCCTTGGTGGTGACCTTATCCTATACCTTTCGGTCCACAGAAGAGCTCTATGTCAATTTTGGATACAATCTGCTGACATTCATAATCTTGTACAACAACCTCATTCCCATCAGTCTGCTGGTGACCCTGGAAGTCGTCAAGTTTACTCAGGCTCTTTTTATAAACTGGGTAAGTTGCAAGAACAAAAAGTTGGTTAATAAATTGCGGTTTTGAATGTCACATTGGTGTAAAACCCTTAAAATTAAATTTGTCACCTTTTTGTCAGTGTCTCTTTAGTTATTGCCTTTGGCAAGACCAATTAATAGTTCAGTGAATCTGTTCAATGCTAGTTTACTGGTCCATGTTACCAGGGCTTGAAAACACCACTTGCCTGTAGAACGGTTCCGTGCATGAGTGCCATCCACTTCTGCAGTTTCTAAGCTTCCATTAGAAAAAAAATAGCTTTTAGCGCTTTCGGTTGCTAGGAAAGCCTTCTGAACACAAAATGAGTGTGAACAGGTAGTGTCATCTTCCTCAGCCTTTTGGCAAACAGCAGTAGTGACTCTTCTGCAACTCATAGGTTTACTAAGATTCAGCAGAGTGAAAAATGACCAGTATCTTGTCATTTTTTCAGTTATCCTATTCAGAACCCTGGGGGCCACTGAAAGTAAAACATGGTCAGGTCACTTTCACTCTGGTGATGCTTGAGCTGCAATGTTTGTCCACAGAGTGCAGGTTGGGAGTGGCTCATGTCACTAAATAGTGACTTCTCTGGTCAGGTAAGGAACTGAAGTGGTAGTTTTCATATGGATTCCCGTTCAGTCCCCTTGGGCATAAAGATGTTGGCTGTGATGTGCCTGGAGGGTGTATAGTTGAGGAAAATGTATCATATGCATCTGCCTGGGTGTGTGCATATGTACAACCTCAGGGCTTCAACGTGGCTGTAGAAGAAGACCCCTAAAAAAAGATAACCCCAGATGAAGTTAAATTTATTTTGCCTATGAGATTTTTATGTGAGTATAACTGAATCATTTCCAAGCTGAGTCATCTGGAAAATTGCTTCTCGGATTACTGGCACATGCAGTAGCTATTTTTGCAATGTATTCCAATTAAATGCAATGATATAAACAGAACTGGTTGTAGTATAGGTGAGCAGTTTTTCTGTTTAGAAGTGAGGTCTGGACTACAGTAGTTTAGTGACTTTTAACTATATGTCTTCTGGGTAGAATTATTGATATCCTGTAAAAGAATTTTCCCTGTGTTAAGACTCCTGACCCTTTTTGTGCATTGAGCTGAACATGCAGCAAAGGAAATGCCAGTGTTTTTTTAATAGGTGTCATTTTCAAGATGTCTACTACACAGATACATTTGAGAGACAAACTGTTGTTCTCCAAAGGACCATATTCTGCCTTTGCTCTGCAGCAGCACTCCCATTGGCGTGGCTGGAAGTCACGTGGGCAGCAAATGCAGTATGTTGCCTGAAGAGACTTAAACTGTTGATTAAACTGTATATCTTAGGTCTGTTTTCACTTTTCTTTCAGGACATAGATATGTATTATCAAGAAACAGATACACCTGCAATGGCCAGAACTTCAAACCTTAATGAGGAGCTTGGGCAGGTGAGAGAACCTCATTGGGAATATCGTACTTGTCATATAACTTAGGAGAAACACATGAAAAGGTACCATACAAAGGCAACGATTTTCTTATAATAATTATAGGCTTTTCTCTGGTCCACCTCTTACCCTGAGATAGGGAAGCTCTATTTTACAGGTAGATAATTGTGCTGCACAGCAAGATTAAGTGACTTGTCCAAGGTCACTTAATTCCTGACTCTGACTTAGACTATTTGAACCCAAATCTCCTACGTCCCAGTTCAGTGCCTGAACCAAAAGACCATCTTTCCTCCTCTAAGGGGCCAAATTCTGCCCTGGAATGTGTATGTTTGTCACATGCTGGGGTGTAGTTCAGACCAGTTAGGGGCTGTGTCCCCAGTTGCCCTACAAGCTTGGGTGCTCCCAATTCTTTGCTGATTTAACTCCCAACCTGGGCCCTTCACAACCAGCCAAAGAGCACGCAGGGCACCCCCTGAGTATCTGTGTATAGCTGCAGCCTACTAGCAACACTCCATTCACACCCTAGCTCCCACTAGCCTTGGTTACCACTTGCAGGGTGACCCCCAACACACCCTGCCCTCAATTTTCCCAAAAATGTGTGTTCTGCACTGTCCAGCCCGCTCCTGGACAGTATAGATATTAGAGGTCTGTTGCCCTTGCAAGGGGTCAATATTCAACAGTTTGCTTTTTAACTGGAGTTACCCAAATCATTCAGTTTAAACACAACACTGGATTAGTTTTGATTAAAACAAGTTTATTTAACTACAAAGAGATAGGTTTTAAGTGAGTACAAGTACAAAGCAGTAAAGTCAGAAATGGTTACCAGAGAAATAAAGATAAAACGCTTTCTAGTAACTAAAACTTACCGAGCTAGACTTGGTTCTAGGTAAAATCTGTACCACATGTTCCCAGCAACATTGCTTGCCAAATTTTCATGTTAGGATCCCTCCCCAAAAAGCTGATGTTTTTGTCATCTTGGGTGAAAGAGAGATAGAAAGAAATAATATCTGGGGTGGTTTTGGCCCTCACTTTTATAGTCCAGTCAGTCTTTGAAATGCATTTTCCTGATGGCTACCCCTAGATAAAGTTCCTTCCCACTCTGAGGATGAAGACATGGAGTCTGGTGGTGAAAGAGGTTCCATGTTTTTGTTTGTTAAAATGCAGATCGATCTGTCCCTGCCTGCCTTTGTTGTCAAAGAATGGCCACTTGACTGGTTAACTTTGCTGACACCTGGCTAGAGGTGTCAGCTTATCCTTTGTCTTTGATAAACAGGCTTACCCCTTCCCCAGACGTGTCTGATAAACACATTTCCATCATCACCTCAGCTTATCTTCATAACTTTACATATAATGTTGCTACCCACATTTCACCATGGTATTATTGACCAGTGAGTTATTAGCTTTCAAATGATATCTCTCAAAGCATATTTTGTACAAAGATTGTTACAGTAGTGTGAAGGGTTTTAATACAGGGGTGCATTCAGTCAGTGTTCTTCCCGTTAATTTCTGTAGGAGCTGCTGGAGTGTATTTGAGGGCACAGTTTTGTCTAAAGTGTTGCCTCAGTTTTTATTAAGGTCTGTTTTAGAAGATCATAAACCTACTCTGAGTCTGCAGGCTTGTACATGTGCCTCCATTGTCCTACCGACACACCGATTGCATGTAGTCTATTGAGATATGAGATATTGAACACTGGTGAGTGTGGTTAACAGCTCTCAATTTTGGAAACCAGGTTGAGGGAGGGGCTGTTTCTTCCCTCACTGATCTCCGTGCAGAGTATTTGCTAGAGATGAGCGATTCATAGATTTAATGCCAGAAGGAACCATTATGCTCATCTTAGTTCCACCTCCTGTGTAATGCAGACCATAGAATTTCACCCAGTAATTCCTGCATCAAGCACCATAACTTGCAGTTGAACAACAGCATATGTTTTTAGAAAGATGGTGACTTTTTATCTCAGGTCAGTAGATGCATGATTTTATCCCAAAGCTTTCATTCTAATTCAGCATTCTGGATCTCTAATTAAATTGTTTATTAAATCCTAGCTGTACCTTCTAACTCCCTATAACACCAAGCGCAAATGTTGTACTCTTTATTCTGCAACAAGGAAAATAGAAAGACATTAGTGAATATCTCTTCATCCAATTCAGTCATTCCTGAACTGGATGAAGAGCAAGTCACTGTCACGGTTGGGTCGTGGGCAGCTGAACCTAATAGTAGGAGCCAGAGTCCATGGTCACGAGACAGGAGTCAAGAATCAATTGGTTTGGAATACTGGGCGGTCAGAAGCAGGAGACAAACTGGCGATCAGAACAAGAGACAGGTCAAGTCAGGATACCAGTGGGTCAGAGGTAGGCAACAAACTGAAAGTCAGAAATCACAAGTCAGATGCCCCGAGTAAAGACAGGTCAGAATGCCAAGGGATCAAGCCAGGGAAGCATGAGCAGGTAGTAGGAGCTGGTAGCAGGAAGCACAAGGCCATAGTCTAAAGCACTTGTTCAGATGGCTTCTTGGTCCTGCTGTTGGCTTAAGTAGGGTCAGTAGGCCAATCAGCGGCTCTAGGACTCCACCAATCCGGCCTCAGGGATGGCGCCCCCCACTGGGGCTGGGCTTCATGGATCTCAGGTAAGCTGTTGCCAGTAACTGCCAAGTGAAGAGCTGGCATGAAGCTGCTTCCATGAACCTCGCTGGCCCAGGTTTGAAACCTGTGGAGTCATTACACTTGCATTCTTACAAGAGCATTTATTGTAAGTCCTTCAGGGCAGGGACCATCTGTTTTGTTGTGTTTGTACAGGAGCTAGCACACTGGGGTCCTGGTCCATGACTAGGGCTCCTCGGTGCGATGATAGTACAAATAATTAGTGATAATAATAATTAATAATGTCTCAACCTGTTCTAATTAAAGTATAAAATATGTGTGGTTGCTCAAAACTTTTCTGTACAATTCTGAATAACAAATAGAATATTTTTCAGACTTAAGGAACTTCCCAGTCAACTTTCCCAAAATAAAATTCCAGAAAATGTGGAGACCTTACAGGCAGAATTTCTATTGTAGCATTCGAAAATGATTATCACTGTTAGATATGTATATTCATTATCTACTTTTTAACATGCCAAATCTTTACTTTGAAAATTTATAATGGAGCTTTTTTTCTAAAGCCCTTTCCCAGCAGAGTCCTAGGCTTGTGCATAACAGATTTACTGAAAGCACAGTTTTTAACAGGTTGGTTGACACTGTTTTTCCTACCAGAGTAAGACTGGTCTTTCCCCCAGGCCAAGAATTTGAATAATGGAAATTCTGATTTTAATCTGGAATCTTTTGGATCCTCAGGGCTTTCATATCTCTTAATGAAATATACAGTGTAATTAGGCTAGCATGCATCTAATTTACATATATCTTAATGTATCCATCAGTCATTGACTTTATTATCATTTGCTTGAGGTAACTAGATAACTTGCCTTGGTTTTTTTATATTTTCAATTTGATAGCTGGATCATAAATGTCCCTCTGTCTAAAATGATTATCAGTGCTGAATATATTAGGAGTCACACTGGGTTGGAAGACAGTTTCCATCTGAAGCCCAGTTTTAGGCAACCTCTCCAACATAAAACTTTGAGAGTCTCAGCTTTTGGCTACCCACTCTGAGATATATGAATTCGAGACACCAGTTTACAGAAGGTTTTGAATGTCTATTCTTCAAATTTAAGCCCCCATTAGCTGACTCAAGTTGGGCACTCAAAAATTGAGGCACCCAAAATCGCTAGTCATGTTTGAAAATGTAGACCTTCACGTTTAGCTGAGTGAACAAGTAAATTTTGAGTTGTGGATCTTTGAAAAATGACCATGTTATGTAGGTAGGTTGTGGAAATGCAGTCACTGGAGATTTTTAACAGGTTAGACAAAAACCTGTCAGGGATAGTCTAGGGTTACTTAATCCTGCCTCAGTGTGGGAGGATGGACTAGCTGACTTGTTGTGGTCTCTTCCAGCCCTCCATTTCTATGAATGCTTTTTCTTCTTAGGGACATTTTTATAATTTGTTTAAATCAACAATTTGACTTATCTACAAATGTGACTTCTGTACTAGGACTCCATAAAAACTTGTGCAATGGACTGGCTCTACTTTCTAATGTTTACTTTACCAGTTAAGTTGTTCAAAGCCAAAGAGGGTTACATAAGGTACAAGTTGTAATTGGTGAGCATATAACTAGGGCTGATCAGGTAATATCCATGGAATAATTTTAATGTATTTCATGATAATTCTTGAATAGTCAAGAAATGTAAATTATATGAAATGTTATTAATACAATGAATATATTTTCATTATTAGCCCAGGTCTGTTCTAGAGGCCCCTTTTGAGGCTTCATGAAGATAAGTATAAAAGGATTGGTACATTACTTTTAAATAAACCTAAAGGAAATCCTAGTACAAAAGCATTGCTAAAATAGAGTTAAGGCTGAGAATAGATCTTTCTTAAATCAAGATTCATAGGAAAATTAAAATAACAAAATAAGGAAGTGTTCAAAAATCTGGAAATTGTGTTAAGGATCCAGGGCCAAGGTCCTGTGAAAGAAACTTAAGTTTGCCCTGTTGAATGTGTGAGTCACAACAGCATAAGACTTTTGTTGTATGAAGGAATGACCCTTTCAGGTTATATCTGGTACAGGCAGTGGCATCTCCAGGCACCAGCGCTCCAAGCGGGTACGCCGAATCCGCGGGAACGGGGACCTCCCGCAGGCAAGCCGCCGAAGGCAGCCTGCCTGCCGTGCTTGGGGCAGCAAAAAAGCTAGAGCCGCCCCTGGGTACAGGGGAATTAATACCCTTATTATAAAGGTGTAGAGGTGAATGCCTGGCTTGTGTCTGGAAGTTAGGGATGTTAACACACATCTGGAGGGCTGGTGGAGTACAGTGGGATCTCCAGGTGGTATTGAAGGTGTGGATGGGTGTCAATGGAGCCTTTCATAGCCAAGTGACAAACAAGAGTTGGGTGAATATCTGTCAGATATGTGGAAAATGAGCAATGGGACATTGTGATCTCTGATTCAAACCAGGAATGTGAGGAAGTACTGGTCTCCAGCCTGTAAGTGATGGATGGATCTGCAGTTCACAGGACCTCATGCAGAATTTTTTTGAATTAAAATTGGTGTTGGATTCTTAACTGAGAATTTATAGACACTTTTTGTTAGCATTTTGTTCATTTAAACTTCTAGCGCTATATCTTCAGCTGATGTAAATCAGCATAGCTCCACTGATTATAGTGAAGCTCTGACAATTTATACCCACTCAGGATCTGGTCCTTACTTGTTTTTAGAGGAACTATATTACCAATATTAACTCTTATTTTAATTTTTTTTCCTGGGAATTTGCCTGTAGCTTTTGTAAGATAGAACAAATCATCTCTGACAAACTGCAACAAGTTTGCATTGGCCTGTACTGCTGTATTTCCTAAACATGCATACTTTCTTGTGGTTTTTTTTTCTGATTTAATGTATATTTTCCTTTTGTTTGGACTGTGCTTCTATGCAAGTTAATCTTGTGAACTTGCTACAATTGTTTCATTTGTATTCTAGGTAAAATACCTGTTTTCTGATAAAACAGGCACTCTAACATGCAATATTATGAACTTCAAGAAATGTAGTATTGCTGGAGTGACATACGGGTAGGTACTATTTCTATAAACTCCATAGCTTAATAATTAATTTTATTAATTCTGCAAATTGGTATTCTGTTCTGTAACAAAATTAAATTTAACTGTTTGGTTGTATTAATAGAAATTCATTTTTGTGCCCATAAAATAAATTGTTAGTTTCTCCTGCAGCGTGAATTATGGAATGCAGAGGTTGAAATAATTTAAATGTGGTGCTGGAAAGGTTTGTTTGAATAAGGTGTTTTCCTCTTCCTCTTACCTAACTGGTTAGAATGAAACAAGTGGTGCTAAATGAGTTTCAGGCCTTTCATCATAGGGTTTTCCTTAGGGAACCAAATGTTGTGTCAAGACCTTATCCAACTAAAATCATTGACTTCAGCTGAATTAGGATTTAGCCCATAGTTCATATTTGGTGACCAATTCTTCATTCTTTTGTCTGGTAACATTCCCCCAGAAAGGGCAACTACTTCTCATTTTTATGCTGTCTGCTTTAAATCGTTGGGTTTGTTTATTTTTAATACAAAGAATCAATTTGGTTTCTAGCTCCTGGGAACCTGTGCAGGGGTGCATAATCCCCAGTATGGAATCTTCTGTGGCCATGTTTTTATAACATAAAGTATATTATGTCTTTAATGTCTTCTATTTTGCCTCTCCTAAAAAACTGGTTATACTTTATGTGGTCTGCCAGTTTGTAAAGCTCTTGTGAAGGTATATGAATTGCCCCATTTGAAATCAGTTGCTTATCTGGCCATTTGTACATGTTGTCATGGTAATTGCTTGTACAAATTAGATTTACCGTTACTAGTGTATTTTGGGGCATGTCCCTAGCATTTTGATTCCTTAAAAATCTATCCTTTAATGTCGATGGAAAGCAGGAAGTGTCTTCAGTATTTAAGGTCCCATCCAAAATAGCCTTTCAGGGTACGTTACATGGTATTTAATTGAAATGTTTGGAAGGAGGAAGGTTAAATCTCTGCTACAAGTTGATGAACATGTTTCCAGGGTATTGGTGTTTCAAACCTGATTTTTTTTAACCACTTAGCTCTATGTTGTCATGTACTCCCTTTCTTTTATCAAACTAGCCAATAACTATACATTTTTTCCTTCTTTTAGTCACTTTCCGGAGTTGGAAAGAGAACGTTCATCAGAAGACTTTAGGTAATAATCATTGACTGGAACTAGTTTGGGACTATACAAAGGAAGACAGCTAGCACATATCTAACACATATAAATGAAAGATTATTGTTTGTCCAAAGTTTAGAGTCAGAATGGAAAAGCCCAAGGCGTGACAAAAATGATTAGAGGTATGGAATAGCTGCCGTATGAGAAGAGATTAAAAAGAATGGGACTTTTCAGCTTGGAAAAGAGATGACTAAGGGGGGATATGATAGAGGTCTATAAAATCGTGACTGGTGTGGAGAAAGTAAATAAGGAAGTGTTATTTACTCCTTCTCATAACACAAAAACTAGGAGTCACCAAATGAAATTAATAGGCAGTAGGTTTAAAACAAACAAAAGGAAGTATTTCTTCACACAACGCGTAGTCAACCTGTGGAACTCTTTGTCAGAGGATGTTGTGAAGGCCAAGTCTATAACAGGGTTAAAAAAACTAGATAAGTTTATGGAGGATAGGTCCACCAATGGCTATTAGCCAGTATGGGCAGGGATAGTGTCCCTAGCCTCTGTTCGCCAGAGGCTGGGAATGTGCGACAGGGGATGGATCACGCGTTGATTACCTGTTCTGTTCAATCCCTTCTGGGGCACCTGGCATTGGCCACTGTCGGAAGGATACTGGGTTAGATGGGCCTTTGGTCTGACCAGGTATGGCCATTGTTATGTTCTTAAGTTAACTTGCAATCTGATCAAGAACTGTCTGAATGGAAATATCTAGGCAGATGACATGAGGACGTCTTTTGTTTAAAATAGAGGTTTTTTTAATAGAAAAATAAAAAAAATAGGAAGCAGGAGTCTGTGTAGGCCTCCAGAGTGATCTCATGGTGAAACCCTGGCAGGGAGCTTTAGGCAAGAACTGTCACTGCCACTGTAACTGATTCAGATTGAAATGAGGCAGGAAAGAAGAGATGCCAGAGGAAGGGTGTGAACTGGCTGTTAATGACAAATATAGGTTAGCAATGAGGAAGGTGTACATTGGAGTTTCTGTCCGAGGAAACAGTTGAAAACGGGATGCAATTCCCTTTCTGCCCAAAATGTTGAGCCTCTTCCCTCTTTCCTTACCGGTGTTTTTGTTTCATTTTGATTTTAATTTTTCTTACCTTTGGCCAAGTGAGTTGGGTTTCCCTATTGATCCTGCCTCTTCCCATGTCCTGAAGTGGCCTCTAAGGAAGGAAGAAGCACTTCCTGTCTAACTGACATGAGGTGCTATTTTTGGTGGGGTGGATTTTCTGTCTCTGCCTCTCCTTCTTCTGTTTTTTCTTCCATTTCCTCCTCTGTTCATTTCTTTGCCATCAATATTCCACCATCTTTCTCTTCTCTTTGCCCACATCCTGTTTCTTTCCTTGTTGTTTCTTTCCCCGTCCCCCATGGTCTCCTTTTCCTCTGCTCTTCCTTCTTACCTTCCTCTTGCATCTTTTCCTCTTTTTTCCCCCTTTCTCCACAAGTTTTTTCCCCTCCACCACCTTTTTGCACTTTTCTCCACTCCCCCTTGCAATTGCTCCCTTCCATCTCTCTGATGTGCCCTCTCTTGCTGCTACCGTAGCACACACGACACAGTGTCACCTACAGGAGAGGAGGGAATGCTGCTTCTTGAATCAACACAGTGCTTCCCAGCCTCTGCTTTACAGCACCATGGAGGATTCTTTACTGAAAGTGTGCTGGGCAGTGCTATACTATGTTAGCATCATTCAACTGCATAAGCATGAGCCTACAGGACAACTTGAAAAGTTCAGGCAGGTTTTATTGATATGAAAGATCCCAAAAGAGACTGTTTGTAGTAAAGATAGATGGAGAGGAGTAGAGATTGAGAGAGAGAAATGATAAATTTTGAGATGGTTAAAATCAAAACTTTTAAATTAAACAGAGCAACCTAATTCAAAGGAACACAGTCAACTTTAAATCTAGTCCATTTCAAACAAAATCTAGTAATCTCAAACATATTTAAAAGTAACATTTGATACTACACCTGCTCTGTGTCTCCTACCAATTTCTGAGGTTTTACAGCCACATTTTCCCTGTTTTTTAAAACATTTTTCTTTCTTCTGTTGATGAGTGAAAGACCCACAAACAGGGAGCACTGACTATACAGGAGAAAGAGTGAAAATGCTGATAGGCAAATTGCTGTAAAATGAACAAAATAAACTGAAAATAAAGACAAATATTTCTCCCTGCTTCTCCCTTTCACTTACAATAATATTAGGTGCTACTTGTAATAATAGTAGATAATATGTTTTTAGACAGTAATGTGATTTTCTTTTTTTAGTTGATGCTGTCCCTTTAATATTTCCTGATGAGGTCTATATTAATAATGGAAAAGAAAATGTTGCCATTGTAGTGTTAAATGTAATAATCCCTTTTCTTGCTCCACAGCCAGTTACCTCCTTCTACCAGTGAATCATGCGAATTTGATGACCCACGGCTGTTGCAGAATATTGAAAGTGACCATGTAAGTCTAGTTCTCAAATATTACTTAACTTACGTCTCAAAAATATGCTAGGTCTTTCTGTCTGCTCTCCCTGGGATGGAAGGTCACTGGCAGATTTGCTCAAGTGTGTATGATCATGTCACCTACTACTGGTGCATTCTACCAAGGATAGAAGCACTTAAAGAAAGGAAGGTGGGGGAGAAAAGTAGTTGAGTAGAGATGAGAAGGGAGAAGAAATGGAGAACTAAAAGGGAAGAGTAAAAAAGAGGAGGGAGTGCTACCTCTGCTGTTGAACTCTGACCAAACGGTGACTTTTATATGGGTACCAGCTAGTTTCTGTTAACAGATGTAGTTTTATAATATGGGATGGTAAGAATCCTAACCACTGAGAGAGATTTTATAGGTTCAGTAATACTAGATTTTTCAGAGATGTTCCATAGATACTGTGCTATCGGAAACAATTTACTTCCATTGAAAGAAGTATTGATTCTTGTAATATTGGTCCTTGATACTGGTAGCATGGTGCTTTCTGCAGGTCTCACTACAATACTGCACTATCCCAAAGGCAGACTCTGGAATTAACTTATATGGACCTGCGTGAGAGGAAGTTTAATAACAAAATGAACTTAGGCTAAGACTTCTTTTAAAAGTGACTAGTGATTTTAGGTGGCCCAGGTTTGGGTGCCCAACTGGAGGTGTCTTGAAAGGGCCTTTTTTCCTCAGGTGGGAACTCAGCACTTTCTGAAATCTAAGCATTGAGTTACCCAAATTCATTTTTGAAAATGTTGGCCCTTGCCTTTCTCTTAGTATCTCAGAGACTGCTACCACTCTAACTAGGTTTTGGTTTTGTAAACTAATGGGTGCCAAGCTTAAAAAAATAAAAATGGTCAGATTAGTATTAGTAATTATACAATATTTAAAGTACAGTATTTAAAGTATTATTTGGTGAGGAATCTTTTTATTAAAAGAAGCTTTAAGGAGACGTGCACAACCGCATGACTTTCTCTTCTGTTTACACCTTCTAATACTTCAGAACTATAATTACAACATAATATGAATGCCTGAAGGTTTAATGAATTAATAATGATCAATGGCATAATGTACTGTCATGGAGTCTGCAGATGTTTGTGGATTTCAGTTTCCATCTATTCATCAGAGAGGTAGTCCAGCCAGCAGAATATATTTTATTCTTTTACTTGACCCTGCATTGCAGTAAACTGCATCAAGAAAAGCTCCTGTCCCATGCACATCACCACAGCCCAGTTTAGGTATCTTTACATTCTTCTGATTTGTATTCATTAGATCAGTGGTTTTCAACCTGTGGTCTCTTGTTCCCTAGGGGTTTGCAGACTATGTCTAAGGGGTCCGCAAAAGATGACTATACAAATTTAAGTTTCAGATCCCACAAAGGGCATTCAGTTTTTCTGATCAAGCAAAAGTATGTGAATACCTCCACCTACAGGTCAAAACCCAGAAGTGTTGTTACCATAGAAGCCCACAGTTTAGTGCCCTTTCTCACACTGCATCCAGGGCCGGTGCAACCACTAGGTGAACTAGGCGGCCGCCTAGGGCGCCAAGTAGTTGGAGGCGCCAAAAAGCACGCTCAGGGGAGGCAGTAGACTGGAGTGTAGGTGAGCTGGGGCAGAGGAGCACAGGGAGGGCTGCCCGCAGCAAGTAATGGGGGGGGGGTGCAGGGGAACCGCTCCCCGCCCCAGCTCACCTCCGCTCTGCCTTCTCCCCTGAGCACGCCGCCCCTGCTCTAATTCTCCTCCCCTCCCAGGCTTGCCGCGCCAAACAGCTGATTGGCGCTACAAGCCTGAGAGGCGGGAGAAGTGGAGCGGCACCGGCATGCTCAGGGGAGAAGGCGGAGCGGAGGTGAGCTGGGGCGGGGAGCTGCCGCAGGGGGGCCTGCCTGGGCGGAGTGAGGGCGGGGAGCTGCCGCAGGGGCGCCGCAGGGCGGAGCAGGGAGCTGCCACGGGGGGCTCCCCGGGAGGAGGGGAGGTGGGGAGCTGCCGCAGGGGGGCTCCCTGGCTCTTCCCCATGGCCCGGCCCCTGCTGTTCCACAGGGCCTCACAGTGACAGTACAGTCAATACAAGTGCTCCTGGTGAGGACACACACTGCTGACACAGGGAGCAATGTGTAGACATGCACAGGTGATGTAATTACTGCAGCAGCTGTACGCTGATATAAGTTAGATCAACTTAATTTTGTAGTGTAGACACGGTGTCAGTCTGGAATGAGTGTAAGTTAACATCTGATGGCAGCTCAATGGTCTATGAGAAATGTATCGTTCGGTGGATGCCACAATTTACACTAATTAGTGCCTTCATTAGTAGTCCTTGAGGAAAGGCCAATTCAAATGGATTGGGGAGACTGAATTACTCTCTCAACCTTAGAAGTGGTCCCTTAAACTAAGGATTGAGCAACACTGATGGAGCATTATGGGGAAGCTTGTATTGTCTGCCTGTGCTGTATGTGTTTTGTACATAACTTGTGGACCTTGGTCTCTACAGCAATCTGTGATTGCTTTTCACAAACACTATATACACATGTGCTCACTCATTAGCATAGCCCTTGATTTCACACAGACTTCCCAGCCCAAGGTTGCAAGTCTATCTTATATCCCAGGAGAATGTTCTCCATCATCTGGGGACATTGCTGTCCACGTGCATCTTCTTTAAATTTCTTAGCTCTTTTGGTCCAATGCTAACTCTGAATATTGACTGATGGACAAATCCAATTTTGACTGTCAATCAAGGAGATTGATTATTCTGTAGAAAGATTATTCTGTAGAAAGTTTTCTGGGAGAAAAAATTCACTGTCACTTGACATATATGAAAGGATTCGCATGACCTCTTCATTAGGTTTTGGGGGAAGAAAGAATGCCCATATTTGCCTTTCACAGCTGCTTCCATTGGATGTTTTTTGCCACAGCATCAAGGAGATTATACAGGTTGTATCCTTAGGAAAAAGCCCTAAATTCTTATTAGAATGGAAGTAGCTGACTTTTCAAGGACTTAAAATAATGTTTGCTGAGTATGTTAAACTGTTTATAAACTGGGTAAAATCGATTGATGGAACTTCAAAGTTGTGTATGTGTAACCCACAAATCTTCTGGGTGTGCTGTTCTGTCTCACCTAATGGCACTGAGACCACTTAGCGAGAGAGAGATAAAATGAGTCTGCTCTACAGCCTCAGCTAACAGCCAGTTGGCTTTTAGCTCATGCGGTAGAGGCTCATGCACTAAGCTCCAGAGGTCCCATCCCACCCGCCCATGACTGGGGTCTGTCACACATGCACAGTAAATACCCACAACGCTGAGCTGAGAACTAGCCCCCATGCCCTGACTCTGTTCTGTTTTATCACAGGCATAAAAAAATACTGCGTCATTTTCTACACTTCTAGACTTTCATCTCAATAAAACACACAGGTGCGGATATACTGCAGTTTTTAAGAGTCTGTAGGAGACTTTAGGGGACTGTGACACTTTTCAGGAAATAACTGCTTCAGCCCAAACTTTACCCACTCATCAGCACACAAACAATAAGAAATTGCCATGGTTTGGGAGGAAAAAGAATAATTTTCAAAAAAGCTGGTTGTCCGCACCCCTGCTCCACTTCCTTCTCATTGATATGTGCAATTTAAAAAAAAAACAGATATTCGGTAACGGCTGGCAATTTGTTAAACAAACAAACCATCTTCTCCCATGTTTGTGGGACCTTCAGACCATGACAGTTAGAGGAAAATGAGTTTTGTTTGGATGTTGAGAGAGGTCAGATATGAATTCTTTCTATGTCTGTGCTTGAAGGGTGCTGAATACCTTCAACTCCTAGTGACTTCATGTTTCAGGGGTGCCCAGCATTTTACAGGACTGAGCCTCAAACAGGTGTGGTAGACATGAGAAGTAATACTTGTTCTTGTCATATTGCATTTAGAACAGTAGTTTTCAACCTCTGGTCCATGGACCCCTGGAAGTCTGCAGACTGTTTAAGATTTCCAAAGGGGTCCGCACCTCCATTTGAAATTTTGTAGAGGTTTGCAAATGAAAAAAGGTTGAAAACCACTGATTTAAAGGCATTTAGCAATGGTGAGACCCAAGCCCACATGGGACTAAAATGGGTAATTATTTTGCTAGCTGTGCTGGTGGTAGAACTGTTATCTTGTGGGTAGTAAATACATATCATGTGACCCTGCAAAATGTTTTGTAAGTCTTTATGAACAAACTGACTGAAAAATAAGTCAATCTACTTCCTTTCTGGAAATGTTATGAACCGTGGAGTTGATCTAACATTAAATGTCACTACTAAGTTAGAGATGCATTTTAAAGTCTTTTTTCTGTTACATTTTTTATCATTGTATCTGTCTGGAGATTCTTGGGGATAGAAATAATGGTGCTCTACCCGCTGTGGCATACAGGTGCAGATTTCCAAATCCACGACAATTAAATTGTGTACTCAGCATCCGCTCTGCTGGCAGAGAGGACCCAGTATTAACAAAGCCTGAGTCTTTGTTCCCCCTCTAGTGGCCAGACAACATAATGAGGTTTTGTAAGTCTGCCGCTGCCTCCTAATTTAACAGACCCTGACCTTTATCTCAAGCAGTAAAGGGTCATGCTTTTAGATCAGGTGGTCCTGGGTTCAGTTCCCCACACATAACCCAATGAAGGCATCACCATACTTGCAAATTTGGATTTTTGTGAGCATGTTCCTACATGTGTTTTAAAATCCGGACTTGCATGTGTGCATTGGATGCAATGTATATGGGTTGAGGATCTGGGCCAGGGAGTGCTTTGGTAAGGATTACATATATCATAGGGGGTCTCTTTTTAGGGTGAAACTTGAAAAGAAATAGATTTCTACTTCTAAGCACAAACATTAAAATTAGGGTTAACATGATTGGATGGGAATAACTGGTGCCTGGGAGAAAGAAGGTTAGAAGCAATGGTGCTGGTAAGAGTGGGAGCTACTAGTGGGCAGATGGGGAGCAAAACAAGATAAAGGGCAAAATAAAAAAGTAGAAA